AAGTCAACATCTGTCTACCCAGCTGTGAACATTAGAAGTATTCTGAGAGGTGTCTCTATTTTGAAATGCTTTCATTGTTTTGGAATTCTTTATCATGCATTCATATTTACTTATGAGTTCAAACATAAACAATAAAGGAAGAAACTCTGAATTTCAAATTTAAGTATTTCCCTTGTGCTTTTTAAAAGCTATTTGCAAACTTGATTCAGAAACTTAAAAAGTTCAAAGTTCATTTGTAGAGGGTGAAAGGGGAAATGTCAAGGTGTATTGACATGTATCTTATTTTTTCCCTCAGGTGAGTTAATAATTAAATGAGAAGTCATTTCGTCACAGAAAACTGATAATTAAGATCTTAAAACTTTTAAAACAAATGTAATAGGGTTTTAGGTAGAGCCAAAAAGCAAGTAATACGCTACTCATATTACTCATATTTGTTCTAAATACATGATTCCGGCTCATAGTTTTGCTGTGTACTTGGAAAAAATGGCAGAAGTTTTTGGGTAATTTAAACATTTGAGGTCCCTTGGAGACAGAACCATCAGTGAAATGAGACCTGCTAGGTCTGTGTGTTTTTTACAGATCACCACAGCTAATATGGAATCTGATCCCTACTTAAATAAATTGTCTTACTATGGTATGGCAGTAAATCCTTGAGCTGAATTCTCAAAGTCCAAATGATTTTTATATAAGGCTTCCAAATAGCATGTGCTATTGAGGAAGTGAGACTTGGCCCACTGTACAGCTTTTCAACTTTGAATTTGTTTAAGAGCAACTTTTATACATAGCTCACTTGTGAATGTTAGGAATCTTAAAACTTAACTATCCTTTCTCTGATGTACATAGCGCCACATACATTTTTATGGAACAGATTTAGTCCTTAAAGTAACCTCTGGATGCTGTAAGATAAATGATGTTTGAGTCAGAGGAGTGCATTCATTTTATTTACTTGACAGTCAGCAGATTCAGGAACGAGGGGACTAAATGCTTATTTTAACTTTGTCAGTGGCATCTGTATGACCCTAGTCTGTGAATAATTTCTCTATACCTCAAAGACATGTGTTCCTGGGAATGTATCAGTGAGTATGGAGTTAAAGTCTAGCACAGAAAATAAGGCAGACTGCTGCCCTGATTCTCCTTCTGTACTTTGGTCAGTTCCTAGTATCTTTTGATCACTTTTCCTCAGGGTTGCCTAATACATTTTCCTTGGCCAGAAAAAGAGCTCACCTGTCCAGCAGCAGACGGTCATGAATTCGTTTTATAATGCACCATGCTAGATCCTGACATTTCCATGAAGGACAAATCTTTACATGGCAGATTTACTTTCCCGAACTCATTTTCTAGGGAATATCATTCTAGGGAATTGTACCATTAGCTTATTCTGAATTTGTATTTCGGAAGCGCCCAAGTTTTTGCTCAATGGGAGGAAAATTTGTCTCCCACAGTCATTCTTTTGTTCACTGAAAGGAAGGACAGGGCAAAGGCTTTGTTCCCATGGGTGTGTATATCAAATAACAGGATGACCAATGATTTTGGTATTTCTTTTAAAAACTTGATTGATTTGAGTTGCGTTTGGGATTGAACCAAGGCTCTCTGCATTGAGTTTCATTCTTAACCCTTTTTATTTTTCAGAATAGGGTCTCACTAAATTGTCCAGGCAGGACTCAAACTTAGGTTTCCTCCTGCCTTAGCCTCCCAAAGTTCTGGGATTACAGCTGTGTGCCACCACACTTGGCTTACTTCTGTATTCTTTGGGCTTATCATTTGGATCTGATATCTCTAGTTTCTGTATTACCATGTGAGGTGTGCGTACGTATCATCGTTTCAGCAGTGGGCTGTGCTGCTGTAGTAATCTGTTCTGTAGTGCAGTCTGACAAACTGTCATCTTTCAATTAAGTAGTGATGAGGAAGACAGACTTCCGTGCTGTTCTTGGCCCCATGAAACATAAAGATGGTCCTCCGCATTGGGTGAAGCAGCAATGGGAATTCCATCAGTGAAGTTCCCCGTGCAGCTGGCTCATCAGCAAAAAAGATCCTATTATGCCGGGTAGACCACAACTCATCATCTAGGTACAAACATCATTCTATACACCCATGCCCACCCAACTGTATTAGAGTGAGGCTAAAGTATTGAAGATGACTTGAAAACATGAACTAACCAAGAAATTAAGAGTAGTTGACCTGGAAAGGAAAAGAGCTAAGAAAAGTCATCTTTGAATAAGGTTGGAAATTGATTTGAGGCTACCCTACAGGTCCTAACTACAACCAATGCACACATAAGAAAACAGCAAGTTTAATTCAACCTACAGACAAACTGTCTAGTTAGTGCTGTCTAATTGGTATGTGCAGCCTTGGGACACAGTGAGCTCCCTGTCACTGGGGCATTGATGCATGAGCTGGATAACATCGTGGCAATGATGTTGAAGACTTGAATCATGGGCTATAGAGAAAATGATGTTGATGATGTCTGACATCTCTTGTGTATCTGTGACTTTCTAATTTAACGGAATATTACAGAGTTCCCTGGAGCCTTTTGAGCACAATTTGGACAAACTGACAATAATACTTGAACAATTGCTAGAAGCAAAGCTAAAATGGGACAATGAGACAGGACAGAAAGATTCCCACAAGTCTGTATTGAAAATCAGCTAAAGCCAGACTGCCTTATTCTGGGATTGTTTGAAAAAATGCCATTGGAGAATGTAGAATAAACTTGTTTTTTAAAAAAGAGATTATCATTAAAGCCTCTGATAATTCAGTGAATGGACTCTTAGGTAGAGATCTGCTCTTTAGACAGCTAATATTATGAATCCCATTCCAGCTCTCACCTGACAATATGACAGGGCCACCCAGTCGGTCTTCAGTGGGCCTGGTGTGTACTGTTAGAAAGTTCTGTCTATGGCCTACCTAGTCTGAGCAAATCAATCTAAAGCAAACAGTCTATGTGGGGTCTCCCCCATTTTAAGTTCCTGGGTAGACAATGCCCTGAAGCATCATGGAGGGGAAGTCTATGAAGTTAGTATAAGAAACACATTCAGGGACCACCCTGAGTTAGATGTAGTTCACTGAACCTTAAAGGATGTACCTATCTATCCAAAAAGAAGCAAAACCACATTTGTTTCAACTCCAGTTCTCCTTGGCTAGTTGAGAAGCATATCCCTAACGTACAGGCGCTCTGTCAACCTCTGCTCTGCCTATAGTTATCACTGGCCCTCAGCCACTGTTTGTCATTAAAATGCCAGCTCTGCTGTACCCATCTTCCTGGCCACATGGTGTGGGCATGAAATAAAAAATCATTCTCTCCATCTTTCTTCCTGTGCCTCCCCTGTTCCCTCCTCACACCCCACCACATACACACAATGGAAAGAGGGGTTCTGGTGCCAGGAGCTATTTCACCACCCCGTGTCCAGCTGCTCCTGGAGTGAGAGCCAGGACAAACACATTAGCCCGTTTTCCACCTCATGTCTTCAAACACTATGAAAGAAAGTACATCAAATAGACTCTCCCTGTGAGCAATTTACAAGGTGGCTGGTACGAGCCACAGATCCAGTCTTGCAGAGAATTTATTTCCAAGTAAATTGATACCAGAGTTATTTATTGGAGTGTTAGTCCTGCCAACAACTTCATACCAGAGCCAACATTCAAAAATCCAACAAAAATTTGTGCTTGAAAATGTGAATTAAATAGCTCATGCAGGCTTCTCCTTTGGCCCTTCGGATTTTGCTTGGCAAGTTGACCTGATATGTAAGTCTTAAATGTTCTCAGTTCTTATGAGGTGCTTAGATCATGCACTTTGCCCCTTGTCCAAGATGAATGTGATACAATGTGCAGGCCTTGAGACAAACACACAGTTGAGATCCTTCAAAACCACAGTTTCTCCAAAGATAAAAGCAAATTCAGGCTCAGCAACTGAAGTTTCTGACCTGAATGATTGCTGCTGCTTATCTTCTAGTGATTTTTGCTTCAGAGTCCCCAAAGATAACCTTATTAAGATAAGTGAGGTTTGCAGTCCCAAGGAAAAAAATAATTATTATAAAATTCTTTTCCAAGAATTGAATGTAGTTGGCTAATACCATAGTTCTGCATGTCAGCTTTCTTCATGATTATTTCCTGGGCTTGTTATTTTTGTTCTGTTCTGACACAGGCTTTATTTGTGATGAGAAACACCAGGCTATGCGAAAAAAAAGATAGATTAGTAAAGAAAGGGCACATGAGCGATGACTGGAGATACCAGGTGTGATGACTGAGCTATGTAAGGTGGAAAGTGGGAGAAGAATTCAGACTTCCTTTCAGGGCCCTTTTTGGTGGAGTTTTCTAAACGTCTGTGAAATGAATTAACTCACTAAGCCAGCCATCACGATATTTACAGTAAACATCCTTATTGTGCTTTAGCAATTGTCTTAAAACATGTACCTAATTTATGACCACCAAACCGATGTCTCTTGCAAACAGATATATATTAATAGAAGAATGTAAACTCATAAAGATTTAGACTGATCTACATTGGACAACCTAGGGATCTAACAATACAATGAACTTTAAAAGGACTGCTTTAGAACCTAACAAGTCATCCCTGTGTCTCCAAAGGGCTCAAGCTTTCAAGTATTAGAATGTTTCAGATTGTCAGACACAAGACTCCCTTCCCTTCCTCTCTCTTTCTTAACTGTCATCTTGGACCTTTCCTCTGGGTTACTCATGTACAGTGGGCACCTTATTCCAACCATAAAGGCCTTCAGATGGGGCCTGTATACAGTGATGTCCTCCATTAAAAACTATTGGCAATATCTTATTATATCTTGTCCAAGATTTGTATGAGCCAAACTTTCCCTTGGTTTCTCTTGGAGTAATACTATCTGGTTAAGGGTTAAAGAAAATATCTCTCATGCTTTTGTCAAATTACAAGATGAACACTGGCATAACAAATCCTAGACACCATGTAGGTCACCTGGAGGTGGGCGCAGGGAAGCTCTGAGAGTGGCTGATGCCTGTGTCTTCTCATCCAGGCCAGTGAGAGGCGTGTTCACCTCGTCGTGTCCCGCCAGGCTCGAGAGCAGAGCCCAGTCACCTGTCAGGAAGCCAGCCGGACTCACAGCAGTGGCCAGTCCCCAGGTCCAGGAGACATCACTCCCAAGGTGAGGCCCAACTGGGGAATGTATGCTGCTCCTGCAAGGAGCAACTTCTTGGGAAGGATGCATACTTTAACATACTAAGTGTCATCTCTGAACTTCTGTTGCCTACAGAAACACTATTTGACTTATACAACTGTAGGGCCGTAGCGCCGTATTCAGACTTAGTGAGATGACAGATGTCTCTCATCCATTTAGCAAGGTGCTGGGAGAGTTTTGAAACCTGATCATTCATATTTTATATGGGACCTAATTTCTAGTCTAAGCTACATACACATTATGTTTTTCTAAGAATCATTCTGTTCCAGGACTGTTTTCTGTTTGCTTTGAAATGAAACAAAAGCTTTGCTTAGTTTTTTGTTTTTAGTTTCCCAGTTTCCCTGGAAATTAAAATAATGATTCCCCCACTCTTTTTAATAGATTTGTGTTAAGGGCTAAGGAAACGGTATAAACTCTTGAAGCTCATGAGACAGTGGGGAAAGATAGAGGTTGGGGAAAGTCAGAGAGCACATGTTCTGTCTTAAGCGATTCAAATTCAGGAAAATTTTACGAACGGTGGGTCAAGCAGAACACATCTGTGAGTAGAATCCAACCTTCAGACCACCTGTTGGCAGTTTCTTCAAAAGAAGTAATGTAGTCTAATGTGTGTTGCTGTGTGGAGCTTCTGTTAGAGACAATGCCTTAACTTCTTCATTTGCATGAGTGTCTACAAACACAAACCTTGTTTCATCAAACTCAGAATGTAGCCACCTTGGCTACATCCTAGCATCATGACAACAAGCTTTTGCCAGTTATTTCCTCTGGCATCTGATTTTAGCACATCACTTGTAACTAAAAAATAATCTTATAGGTAGCCAGTTTTTCTTGCAGCAAAGAATAAGACAGGCCCCTTTCCTTTCACAGTATTCCACAAGTTGATTTTTTGTGAAATGTGTGCAGAAACAACTCTCAAAATTTTAATTTTGGAACATCACTCGTTTATACACTGTTAAATACAATCTACAATATTACACCCTCCTCATCATTTTTCGGCCAGCTATGTCCCATAAATCCATAAAGTCCATGTTTATTTGTAATAAGCAATCTAGACAGATCAAGTACATCCTGCTAAAATGTTTTATAGATACGGACTCCGCAGTGTCTTCTTGCTAATAAATATCACTAACATGCTTAAACTGACAATCTCTGTTAATGGAAAACTAGTGTATTAGTTTGAAGTTTTTAATCTAATTAATCTTAGTAGGATGAAGCAGAATGTTACATTTTAGTTTATTAAATTTTTTTGAAATGAGGCCTCCACCACACTGGTTTTTAATTCCTTCCACTTACCCAGGGTGAGTCATGGAAAGGCCAGGAGGATCTGGTCACATCTTTGCTGTAACCCGCTGTGTAAGAATTCCTGGAAACATACACTGGCCTGCTGGGAAGCTGTAATTCTTGTCATTTATACTTTTATCTGCCACCATGTGATTATTTTATTTTATTATTATTATTATTTGGGGGGGGGGTTCTGGGGATAAAACCCAAAGCCTCACACGTGCTAAGCAAGTGCCCTAGCACTGTCATACCCTCTGGCCATGTGGTTCTAGTTGCATTCTGAAATGCCTGTATTTATAAAAAGTAGCATATTTAAAGTAGTTTTTTGCTTTAGTGTTTTATGTTTTGACCAAGGTTTTGTTTGTTTGTGGCATTTTGCAAATAACAGTTTAAATGACTCAAAAAATAAGGCAAGTCAGGATTTGTGGAATAGAAAACCTTTTATCCAGTTGAAAAGTGAAGATATAACAGGCACCATGTTTAGGTGAGTGGTTACCTCTGTGGGAGAGAAAGTGGTAAGTGAAGTCACAGAAGCACTTCAATCATAGTTAGAACATGTGTTTCTGATGTTGAAGTGGCTAGGTGCATAAGTAGATTATGATATTATTCCTTATACTTTTTTAGATGTCTGACATGTTCTATTTTAAAAGTTCAAAGGAAATATTAAAATAAATATTTTATGTGATTTTAGTGATAATTAATGGTTTCCTATTATATTTTTAAATAAGTATGAACTATTTCATTGCAAGTTGTTATTAAGCATCAGGGAACATTATGAGGTCTAAAAAGTAGGTAGTATGCCTCCGGCACACTATTCTCCATCCTAAGGTGGACAAAACTGGGTGTAAAGGATTTACAGAAGGGCTTGAGTCTTCTGTCAATAGCATGCGGCTCTTTTTGGTGGGTCTGCAGTAAGTGGCCATCAGAGACACAGTACACATGGGCAAATTCCTTTCTTATTTGAGGTACTGCAGTCACTATATTGAGCCCTGGTCCTCAGGTAAACGTCTCTTTGTTTAGCAAAGGTAAGTCTGTTTGGTAAACACTCAAGGAAGTGTAAAATAGGGGCACTTCATTTGACCTTGGAAAAATTCCTGATATTCCTGAAAGAAGAGAATTTTTTAATGTGTTGATTCACTAGCATCAAGAATAGGAGACTCACCTGAGAAATTCTGGACACAGTTCAGTTTGTATGTTTCAGATCTTTCCCGTGGTCTCCAACCTGTTACTCTGCTTTTATTCTTCCATTTTGAAGTATAAACTTTTTCCAAGTTGGCCTATAGAGTTTGGGGTAATGCACCTCTATTTTGGGAAGAGGAAAAAATGATGATTCTTCTCTGTGTATTTCTCTGTGATATCAACGAGCACTATGTGATGTAATTTATACAGTTTATGCAATGTTGGTCATTTTTTGCATGTAAAAAACCCAATTGTGAATCCATGTGCCATGTTTTTGTGTGTCTTCAGCCCTTCTGTTCTGCAGCTGTCTGTCATGAGAAGTTGGTAAGTGTCCGAAAAGACCCCAGCGAATCTCTTGGCATGACCGTTGCAGGGGGAACCTCACCTAGGGAATGGGACTTGCCTATCTATGTCATCAGCATTGAGCCAGGAGGAATCATAAGCAGAGATGGAAGAATAAAAACAGGTAAAAAGAAATAGAATTATAGTACTGAAATGTTAGAGTATTGAGAGGAATTAGCAGGTTGTTTGTTAGGTAACTGTTTCTAGAATTAAGAGAGTGAGGCAGTCAGAACATCTGTTACCCACTGACTGTAATTAGTTTGAGGCTAGTTGATAGAACAGGTTTTAGTCCTCTTAGTTCAAGTGGGATGATGTAAGCCAGCTTGCCTGATACTGAAGCTGGAACCTTCAGGCTTCCCAAGATATTAATAGGGAGCTCTTACAGTTATGAGCAGTTTGCATCTGTAGCATAATTTGGTTCTAGTCATTCTAACTAGTTGTTTGCTGGGTTGATCCAGTGATTAATTTATCAGCTGTTTCATTTTGTGGGTTGACTAGGCAAAAATATGGTTGACAGATTTTGACTCACTGGATGTGTTGGTTACTTTTCTCTCATTGCTGGGACCAAATACCAAACATCCAGAATTAAGGAAGGAAGGTTTATTTAGCTTACACTTTTCGGAGGTTTCAGTTCATAATCAGCTGGCTGCAAGGCAGGGTGGCCTGGAACAGGAGCAACACAAGGCAGCAGCCAGAGCAAAAAGAAGGGAGAACAGGCATCTTCTCTCCCTTATATTGTATGCAGGGCACCCTGCCCACCCCCTCACCCTCAGCACCACCCCCACTCCCACCCTACCCCATGTCTCTGTGCCCTCCTCTTGCACAGGCTGAGGATATTTACAAAGTAAGAACCCTGGCTTCCTGCTGAGTCCTTAGTTAAATTTTTAAACTTCTCAAGTTGACACAATGTATCAACCATAACTGGATATTAAGTAAAATACCAGGCTGGGTAATTTACCATTGGTGAAAAGTGTTCCACTCTTTAAATCATGCATTTTCTGGGCTATCTAAAGTGAAGGAATATGGTGTCCAATTTACCTCTAGAAGTATGTATCCTTACTAGTATCAGTATATCTCAAGGAGTAGTTTAAGTGGATGAACAATCATGTCTCTTAAAAGATTATAGTTCAAGAGATAAAATACGTATAGTTAGTTACCAGTTTCCCAGGATGACTATAATTATTATGTATCACAAACATAATACCAATTTAAACATATCTAAACACATATATAATAAATATTTATATTCTAAAGTATATCTTCCTAAGCTGATGAACCACAGGGGGATGGGTATAAAAGATATAGCCAGCCAACCAAAGGGTGCTTCTTTCCTGAGTCAGCAAGAAGTCCAGGTTTTTCTTTTCACGCCTGTCCTTTTTCTCCTAGTATTGTTATCCTGTGTGAAAATGATGATGTCAAAGGAGGCAGAAAAACAGGAGAGAAAATAGGAGGATAGAAATCAGGGTAGGGATGTGTGCATTTTAATTTCTCTTGCTTTTCGCAAGTACCTGGGTAAAGGATGCTGAGGTACAACAAGAAATGACTTAACAAGAGAATATAAGCTAGTAGACTGCAGCATATGACGTATGGAAACAGTTGTGCCACTTGTAGGTGCTTAACTATGCACAGAATAGAAATGCCATGAACAGCTGATTCTTTGCAGCAACCTGAAGGCACAGGTCCAGGCTCATTTCTCATAAATCTGAATTCCTGCTAGACATCCACATGGATAGTTCTTTTTTTTAAACTGGGAATCAAACTCACGACCTTATGCTTGCCGGACAGGCACTGTACCACTGAGCCATATCTCCAGCCCTGCATGGGTAGTTTTTTCTTCAGTCTTTGTCTGTATTTTTGGGTGCTTAGTACCAGCTAGGTTCTGTGCAAGTGCTTTTGCTAAGTGCTATCTCTTTGTACTAAAATATAGGAAACAAAGAATGGAAGAGTAGCTTTTAAGTAACGAAAAGGCTTTTTTGTCATCATTATTTTTTTAGATGAGAGCCAAACACTGGTAGGTATGCTTTAGAAACCCCCGAAGAAGACTTAGGAGCAGCTAGAAATACTCTCACTGTTCTCCACCTGCCGTGTGAGGAGTCAGCCTTGTGTCAGTGCCAGGGGCTAATAACGTGCACTTTGCCCTCTCAGCATCCCCACGTCCCAGCTGGTCCCTGCCCCTCTGAACTTCAAGCAGTAGTTCCTGTTCACACTCTCTAAGGATGGCTTTGCTTCTCTGGCCATCAGGTGACATTTTGTTGAATGTGAATGGAGTTGAACTCACAGGGGTCACCCGGAGTGAGGCAGTTGCCTTATTGAAAAGCTCGTCGTCCTCAGTGGTACTTAAAGCCTTGGAAGTTGAAGAGCACGTGCCCCAGGAAAACTGCAACGGCCCAGAAGCCCTAGACTGCATCTACAATATGAGCCCGCCTGACGTCTGGTCCCCATCCTGGGTCACGTGGCTGGAATTAACACAGTGAGTCCCAACCAACATGATGTTCCCATGGGGCGTGGGAGGAGATGACTGCATTTCTTAAATCACTTTGATGCTTAGGTTGATTCATGACACTAGCTAGCATCCTAATGAGGCTCAGTTTGTCTTCCCATTGGTAAATGAAAATGCATATAAAAAATCCCAGGGCAGGAATGAAAATTTGGATGTGGAAATACTTTTCGACATTCATAGTTAGGAGCTGTCACGTACAGCTGTATAGGCTGCTCTTGAAGCAAAGAGCCCAGCTGAAAGACAGAAGGGGCAGAGATCCAGCACTCAGGAACTGAGCTGCGCTGCCCAGGCAAGTTTCACCTTTGCTTAGTCTGCTAGTGACAGTCTGCGGAGCTTGTAAGAAGGCAACTGTGACTTTGCCTCTGCAGTTGTGGGTTGGCCATGGCTCTACATTAAGCAGTACCCAAACACCTTGCCTTCACCCAAAGGATAAGAGTGTGTCTCTGGTCATCTGTCATTAGTGCCTGCTCCTGAAAGGTTCTTTTGGAAGAAGCTGGGTTGTCATTTTAGTGAGATATAACTGGAACCCTGTGGTACAGTATTAAACTAAAATGACTTCAAGGACAGTTCCTCTAAATGGAAATTATACAAATTAAGGATTCAAAGGCCAGATAAACTGGTGTTTGCTCATTTGCATCAGAGTATATACTACTGGCCTTTGGAAGATTACCTTACTTATCTTCAGTGTATGACTTAAATGTTAAATACTGGAACTTCCAAGGATTAAATGACTAAAAGAGAGTTATTTGGATTTAGAAGATTTTTCTTGAATGTGTTCTTTCTTTTTTTTTTTTTTTTTTTTTTTAGTTTAAAATATCCCTGTCTCAAATATAAACTGATCTAGATTCCTTTTTAAGTTATTTTTAAAATCAGTACATTAAAAAAAAAATCCTACAATGGTAGCATATGCATGCTTATGCATCACACTTTTTTTGAAAAAGAAATCTAAGACTATATTTTGGGTATCATGATAGTCACTGCAATACTGTAGTGTCTTTTGCCGGTTGGAACTGGTTAAATAAATTGCAGCACATCATTTCATACATGCCTTTCTTCTCTGTGGACAGCCAGCCTCCTATTTCTGGTGTTCTATGAGAAAGCCATCCACCTTAGACCCCAGGGCTGTACTGGCTTTCTTGACACCCTCCTTCATACAAGGTGACTCTTCAGCTTGATTACAATGGAGTTCGCATTTATGTTTTTGGGTTTCCTAGTTCCTTTTAGGGTAGCAGAAGGTAAAATACAGGTTTCATTCTGCAATTTTGAAGCTAGAAGTCTGTCTGCCCGAGCACTTTTTGTAAGCACTTATTACTCAGTCATGCTGTTATCTAGGCTCTCAGGATAGTCTCAGGACGTGAGTCCTCTATCCTAAACCTGCTTCAGTCCTCATGGGCTGGGGGATCGACCTGTGTCTCTAAGTCCTGACTGCCAAAAACCCCTGATACCATGGTTTCTTCCCTCACTGATGCAGCACCACTGGTTTAAATGTCTCTGTTCACTTGACGTGAATGATGCTGTGAGGAATTTCATCCTATTTGTCATACCACGGCCAAAGTAACTGTACTTAAAATACCGGAGATTTAGATCACAAATAGATGTAAAAAACACACAGGCGTGGAAGTTTCAAGCTCCAAATCTACACTTTCTTTTTTTCACTTACCATGTTTTGAGGGAACCTGTTGTTCCTAATGTGATCCAGCCAATTAACTAAGGTTCTCTAGCAATCAAGTTAATGATGTGTGAGACGCGGTACAACACATAGAAAGAATATATGCAAAGGGAACAGCATTTGCAAACCTGCTGGAGTGCCTGCTCTCAGCCAGTGGGTGTCCGACAATGGGAGTGGTAGCATAAGAAAAAGTCAAGGCCAAGTCGGATGTGCACTACAATACCGCATTTGTCAACAGTAGATTGTAGGACAGGGGAGCACTCCAGACATTGTCTCCCAGCTGTGCAAATTATCAGCTGCCATTCAACAGAGTGTGACTCTGGAAGTAAAGAATTTCTTCTTTACTATTTGTTGGCTTTTGGGGCCCATGTTTCACATCTGGAAATCTTTCAAAACATGCCATCACCTAGATTAGTATGATAGAAATACCCAGGAACTCATTTCTCCTCATGCCCGAGAAATTAACTGTTTACTTTCCTGAAAGTCTTAAAACATTATAATCAGGACAGTCTACAATAAATTGCAAGGAAGTTGATATCTATGCCAAAATAATTTCACACTTTCACTATAAGAGAGGAACACTATCAGGTCCACTTGTTCTATGGGGTAATGACAGTGTCAATATTAGCACAGCAGCTAATGCTTATATAGCTCTTTCTATGTGTCAAAAAGTCATCAAAGAGCTTTATTTATTCTTCACACTTTTTACTCATTTAAAACTCACGTTGATTCATTGATTTAGGTACTAATAGTGTGCCAGCAGTAAAGATAGGAAGCTAAAGTAGTTTACCCAAAATTACATGACTAGCTAGTTGACAGGGCTGAAATTTGAACCAGAAAGTCTTGTTTTGAAGCGTTAAGATTTCATCCACTGTTTGTAAGTTTGGAAAGCTTCCCAAGAAGATGATAAACCTATATTTAGTTTTAATAATTTCTTTCTTTCTCTATCATAAAGCAAATTCTGGAGTCTAAGACAGATTTTGTCATTCACTGAGTGTTTCATATAGCCATCAGTATGTACAGCTTTTGTCATTCTTACCACTTAGGCATCAAATTCCTTGTCATTTTCCCTGTCACATTTCCCATATGACTATAAGTCATAGTCAATCGAAACCCAAATCAAGGCAAAGCATGTTAAGGGCAAGTATTCTGAAAGTGTTTAACACCTATCCCTAGTGTACCTATGAGGAGTGATCCAAAAATAGTCAATATTTAAATTTAAAAATTTTTATTATACAAAAAGAGAAATTGCCATTAATTTTCCTGAAAATATACCTGTTTGCTATAGCTGTCCCATGACCCTTGCCACTTTCTGTAGCAGATCTGGAAGGACTGTTTCATGAGTGTCTTTTAGTTGTGTTGCTGTGGTTGTCTTGGTATCGCAAGTTTATTTCTTGGGACTCTCCTGGTGAAAATCAAATAACTGACATCCTTTAAATTCATGATCACCACCTTTGAGGGAGGTAAAATGATGACCAAGTATGCTAGCTAGGTCATTTCTCATTAGCCCATTCTCTGCACCTGTGTCCCACATATTCTGTGCAATTTAAGCGTCTAATATCCGTACCTATGATCTTCTTCCCAGCAAATAAGTTCAAGTTGTACTTCACAAACTAAAATCCTTTGGATTACACATCATCTTCTTTATCTGATTTCATACCCAGTCCTTTCTCTTTCCCTTCTGGGACCATGAAAGAGGAGTCCTTGTCGTAATAGTGACATTCTAATTCTTTTCTTGTCCACCCTTTTAGAGGTCATCTCCCTCCCTTCTGTGATCTTTATGTCTCCTTTTGTTTTATTTTCTCACTAATGCAGTATGTTCAAGTTCCTCCCAAGCTGAACAGTTCTAAGCTTTTGTTAACCCTCCAGCTTATCTTTCTTCTAGCCAGCAACTTCTAGATGAGTGACTTGCTTTATCTACTTTTTATTCACTCAATAAATCTAACTTCTCTTCTTTACACTTGCCATAAAGTTATACTCATCATTATCACCAAAGACCTAATGATGGATTGAGACAATGGACATACCATGGCCTTCTTGTTTTTTGTAGTATTTCCCATCATTATGGTCCTGTCTTTAATTACTCTAATTACTCCACCCAAATGCCATTTCTAAGCATTCCACTCTGATCACCACCTCCCTTATTTCCAGATCACTTACTCAGTGCCCCATTGCAACAGGTTTCTGATTCCATCTAGACTGGATGCCAAATGTTGTCTAGGTGACTAAGAAAGAATTCTGAAGAGAACATATTTAGTCCATGAACTGAATAGCAGATGGCTAGCTATTATGAAGCATGGCAGAGATTACAGGCAGGGAAATTAGTTCACACAAAAATCTTATGGTAGAAATGAACTTGGCATAATTCTGGAACAGCAAAACAGTTTGTGAAGACCCTGTGAATGAAGGGAGAGAGACCAGACAAGTAGATAGGCACCAGGAGGGTAGGAGGAAAAGGAAATGGAGGAAGTGGACGCTGACTAGGGGCTCAAAGACGTGCCAGGAATAGCCACACCATAACCTTGTGGTTTTTAATTTGAATTTATTTTTTAACTTAAGATAAAGAAATGAAAAACAAAAAGCAAAAGAGACAAATAACAAATAACAAACCCAATACAATAACCTATAGGTTCACAAAACATGATGATAGGGATTTGACAATGGTTGTAATATTACATAGTTACCTTCAAAAGGGTTGCTTACATTAATAGACATAAACTTATTTTCCCTTCCTTCTTTCCTCCTTTCTCCTATAATTTGGATTTATTTTGGCATGTTTCCCATGTACCTATTAGAATATCTAGTTGTAATTTATTTTATAAAGTAATAATTTCTAGTTTATTCATTTGATGAAATTACTGAAGAATAACAGTATGTTCTGGGGCACTAGCTCAGTCATTTGAAAGTATGAAAGCTCAGTTCTCACTTGAAATTGATGTGATAGAAATACATGCAAGGAAATGTCAAATATGTTTCAGTAATACAAAATATAAAATGTAGATGCTCAGGCTTTAAATGCATTTTGTAAACCACAGTACAGGGAAACCAAGTCTTTTCCTGGTTCTGAGTCACTGCTTCCTTGCTGTGACTTAGGGTCACAGGATCCTCTAGCTCCCTGATTCGCATAGAGGAGAATCAAGGTTGCATAATCTATATGATCTGGAATATAGTAGATGACAAGGGAACATGGACAGCAGGAAATAAAGGTGGACCCACTAAGAAGATGGTGTTTCTTAAGGATACATTAGCTAGATAGCTGGGAACTGAAACTAGGGCTTCATAATACTAAGAACACGTTCTGAGCTCCATCTCCAGACACCAAAATATTTTAATATGTGCTTGATTATAGATTGGTATAAAGTATTTGTGTACAATTTTAAGAATAAAAAGCTGTAGGTCGATACAATGAGAAAACTATTAGAAGAGACGTTAGGATATCAAATCTGGGCCTGTTTTCAATTACCTGTAGCATAGGTTACTTCCTTCTGCTGCTGTCTTCTAAAGTGAAGTCCTTTTTAGTTAATATTCTTTTGTACTAAATTAAAAAAATTCTAGGCTCTCTCTGCCTAGAATACTCTGCCATGCTTCACACAGCTGGCTACTTCTTACTAGTCTCGTGGACTACTAGTTCATGGACTAAATGTCCTCGCTTTAGAAGTCTTTCAGAATCACCTGACAGAAGTCATGCTGTCGAGATGGAATAAAAAAACCTATTAGGATGGAGCATGAAGGAGATGATCTGGACAGATGGGGGGGAACAGAGTGGAATGCTTGGGAAGGAGATTTGGAGTAGTCAGTGTTGGTAATGATACAGACAAGGACCATGAGGATGGGAAAATAGTGCAACAAAATTTATCCAAAAGGGAATTTTAATTGTAGCCTCTTGCTTAGGAAGAATCTTAGTCTAAAGCTTTTTTTAAAATAATTACTTTTTTAAAAAATGTGTAATATTTCTCTCATTATACATCTTCAACACTTGTCTAGCACAACGGCTAATAGACTACTGCTGATCTACAAGCTGTATATTATTGGTCTGAATAAAGTACAGGAATTGAGACTAAGTTTTGTAACAATTTAACACAGGTGCATTATTCAGACATCGAATGGTGAAAGAATCTTGCTGAACAGGATAGGTAGAACTTTCTTGCTGAGTTTTATGTTGTACAAACTGCTTACTAGTTATGCAGTAGGATTCCACCTGTCCATGGCTATTATTTTTATGATTAATTTTTCAGCTGTGACCAGAGTATGTATAAAAATTTGACTTTTTAAAATTAATTTTTCTCAATCATTAAAAATTTTAATCAACTCTACTTTAAATAAGTATTGTAATGTTATCAGCAAATTAGTAAAGTAAATCATGTTTCACTGGATTTTTAAGATCTACATTTTCTAAAAACACATGATAAAGGAAATAATTTTAAATAAGTTTTTTAAAATGAAGATAAAAAGTTAATACTTCTTTTACTCATCTGTGGAGCTTTATTTTTGTAACTGGAATTGTCGATGTGATAAAAATCCTTTATTTGAAAGAAATGCTGGCAGCTGGGCGTGGTGGCACACATCTGTAATCCCAGCACTCAGGAGGTTGAGGCAGGAGGATCATTGTGAGTTCAAGATCAGCCTGGGCTACAAAATGGGCTCAAAGCCAGCCTGAATTGCATAGTGAGACTTTGTCTCAAAAAAACAAAAGACACAGAAAACAAAACAGTGTTGGCTTATGAAGCTATGTAATAAATGCCACTTATATACAAATAAATTTAAAAAGGTAATTTTTTTGAAAGAGCATTACATCAAAGAATCACCAGGAGCACACAGCAGGATGTCAGGTACAAACATTTTGTAGACTTCTTTAATGAGGTGGTATTTTGAGTTGCCAGACTTAAAAATCTATGTATACATTGCTCAGAATTTATGAAGACTAACATTTACTGGGAAACAATTACTAATAATATGGAAAATCACCTTAGATAAGGCCAGCAACATATTTTTCATCAAAATTGATCAAAGGTAGTTAATATAATGCTGGAAAATTATTTAATAATCACACATGCTTATGATAATAAAATTTTTTGTAACTTTTTTGACAACTATGGTAGTTTGCAATCATAAAAAAACTATGAAAATTTACACTGTCAACAAAAAGAATGTTTATGTTTGAGGTAGGAGAATGTTGCAGTGACTAGAAAAGTGATTACCAACATTAAAGAATGTGCACCAGAATTCATACATGCTATATAGTGTTCCTTCCTTTGAGAAAACCTGCCATGAGAAGCAATGTCAGCTGACCTGAACAATGCACTTGAGGACACAGTACAAGCTGTGCAGTAGGTTAGTATGTGATACGGAAACTAAAGTCAAGAACTTACTGCAGCCTGAGTAAGAGGGTTAATAAAGATAAATTTTGTCAAAAATGCTTGGGCCATGGATCAAACCTTTATTTTTTTCTGCAAAACAGGGGACTAGTTTAGTTCCAACTTTTGACATTGTAAACTGGATTAACCAAATTTGCTAATCTGCTAGATTATCTTCAGTATTTTCACCACTTAATACCTGCTGCACAAAAATCCACATTTTTCAATGGCCAGTAAGATCAAACTGCAAAACAAAAGAGGCCTGGAAGAACAGATTCCATACATTGTTTATGATGTAATTTAACAATGATCAGTGAGTAGGTGGTAAGTCTGATACTGCACATCTGAAAGAATTACCACCAAAATTTTACATTTGTTAAGCATGATTTTCAGAGAAGAAAACTGACAAAAGAAATTCATGATTCCATAATCATCATTGACAGCTTATATTTGACTATACTTTTTAAAGATAAATCACTGTAACTGGCTAGAACTGACAAAAAACTTTCAAGTTAAAGTATCTTTCTTTCATACTTAAAATCCTGAGCTTACTGGCATTGCTTTAAATTTTTGTTTTGTTTTGTTTTCAAGAACATTTTTTTTTTTTTTTTTTTTTTTTTGTCTTTTTCCTTTTTATCGGTACCGGGGATCGAACTCACGACTACCTGCTTGCAAGGCAGGCGCTTATGCCGCTGAGCTAAATCCCCAGCCCCCTCAAGAACATCTTTGACAAGGCTAGTTTTTCTATTACTGGAAAAAGTTATCTACTGCAAGTAGAACCATGATTACAGGTAAACACATAGCACAACTAAAGGAAAGCACTCTTAATAAATTAAAACACTCATACCTACTTATACAGAAGGTGCAGGAAAGCGGGGGTGTGTTTTGTTTGCTAATAAACCCAAGTTCCTTGGACACAGTACACATTGAAACATCTGAAAGATGACCCAAGTAAATACCTTCTAATATGAACACAGGAAAATAAGACACATTTAGGACTAAGTTGAAATCTTTTTTACTGGAATATGAAAGTTTTAAATGGTTTAAAAGCCTTGTCTACACGAAATAAAACATTCACTAGTGTCAAGGTCCAAAAAACTAAAAGCACAATCAATGTTCAAAAGAATGGGAAAATACTGCAGCTTCAAGTATGCTGTATGCACCTATTTATGTATCTTTAAGAATCACAATTGGGAAAAGTTTAGACATACTTGATCATGACTTTGGATAAGAATATCCAATTACTTCTTTTCTCCAAAAAATCAGGCACACAACTTCCAAGGTAGAGATTTAATGCTTTGATGTTTGGTCAACACTCAGTTGGCTACTGTTACGTACAATGTGATATCCAAGAGACCATAGTGTCCACTTGACTACTGAAATCAAGGTTTATTGTGAGGTATAGCAGGCAAACATTTTACAATGAAAAAATACAGCATTTTCACTTGATGAAATTTATTCACATCTTTTGCTATTTCAGTGAAATAAAACCACAGCTTAGTTTTACTTCGAATGAGAGCAACATTTTGCAAAGTCATGTTTCATTGATGAACATCAGTAGCAAATGTAGTAAACTTTATCAGTTAACATTTCACAAGACATTTTATTGGTTGTCAAAAAAGTTAATATTAAGGTACAGTTTATGAACAGAATATCCTATGTTGATTTTCACCAATGTGAAAATGGGATTTTATCAGACCAGTTCCTGGACTACAGATAGATAAATATACAGTAGACAAGGGGATCTTAGAGAGAAATCCAGCTCCCATCTTTTTAACAGCTGCAACAGTGTGCACTTAGCCTGTACATATGTGAACACTGATCCCAAGGCTACTGAATAGTAAAGGAACTTCTTGAATTTTTTTCTATTTTAGTTGAGGATTCTACTTATTTACAGAAGAGCTATCATTTTTCCTTCTCTCCTTTTGTAAACCCCAATTCAGTTTATGCTATTGTTTTTCCTCCCACGTGTTCTTCTGACAAATGTCCCTCAGCTCTCATTTACTCTGACTGCACCTTGTCTCAGCTTATGTTAGTATAAACTAATACTTTCACAGATCAAAACTCCTACTTCATTAATTAGCTTAGGCTTAACTTTTCTTTACTGAGATTAATCACCTAGTCAAAGGGTTTTTACGTGTATTAAAATTATATCCCCAAATAAAAATATGGTATCTATAAGAACAATTTGGTTTATCAATAAGCATTGAGGCATACCTAACTTTATTGTTAATATAAATCCTCAAAGATTAGGTCATTTTGAAGTCATTTTGATGATTATTTTCTTAATAAACATACAGACCAAACGTAACAGGTAATGTCACTTTTTTTTTTTTTTTTAAATCGGTACCAGGGATCAAACTCACGACCACACACTTGCAAGGCAGGCGCTTATGCCACTGAACTAAATCCCCAGCCCTGGTAATGTCACTTTTAAGAGTGCTCAGCGATGAGGACTAATTACAAGCTGGCTAACAGCATAAAAGTTACTAGGCTATGATACAGTTTTAAATGGGACCTGTTCGATGCTACTTGGCTTCAAGAAAGTAACCAATAAACGGAATGGGAGATGAAGTCACAATAATGAACTAATAGGTAACTGTGCATATATACGGATTCTTTTATTTCAGGTACTTATATAACCGTAAAGATGTTGTGTTACGAAGAAACATAGCTGGAACTCTGGGCTTCCGCATTGTAGGAGGTTATGAAGAAAACAATGGGAACAAACCTTTTTTTATCAAATCCATTGTTGAAGGAACACCAGCATACAAAGATGGAAGAATCAGGTAATGATAAGGATTACCTAACACAAAACCTATATTCCTAAAGCTTGGCCCCACTTGAAATAAGGCATAGATTTACTTTCAGGGTCGGGGGTGTAGAAATTAAAACTGTGTATCATTTTGTCTTCTAAGAAATACAGAATTACACATCCTCTTGGCCCTGTATTGCAACTCCCAACACTTTTAGCATTGTAGTGAATTTAAAATGAAGATACTAATCACATATCTTGACTTTTTTTTTTAAGATGTGGTGACATTCTTCTTGCTGTGAATGGGAGAAGTACATCAGGCATGATGCATGCTTTCTTGACAAGGATGCTCAAAGAAATTAAAGGAAGAATTACTCTCACTATAGTTTCTTGGCCTGGCACTTTTTTATAAAGTCACCGATTGGTCTCAGAAAAAAAGAATAATCACAAATCAGCTACAGTGAAACAATTATATTGTCAATTTTTATAAAGCTTATTTAAAAATGTCAAGAAAAGTATGACCTGATGAAGACCAGTTTTACCTCAGACTGTTCTCAAAAAATAAAAACTATTAATGGTTTTTATTCAGTATGGAAGATTTCTCATTACTCCATAACTTTTAAGTTTAAATTTTTGTATTTAATAAAAAGCCACTGAATAAGTAAAACTGATTTCTATGCCCCAATCAAATCATCAATTTAAATTTTAGTGAGTTCTGCAAGAATCCACAATAAGAATTTTAAATGTAAAGTATGGAGATAATGCTGAGAAATGTTCATCAACTGAGAAATAAATATTTTTCAAAAATTATGTCTTTTTTGAATGTGATTTTAACTGTTTAGTTCTCACCACCAATTGAAGATCCTAGTAATTCATTCTTTCAAACACCATGTTATCTGTTACCATCACTGACATATAATGACTCCAAGGGTTATTCCTAAAAATAGTTATAACCTTGTATTTTCTCAGTTTCTGTAAGAATGACTAACCCAAAGCTCTTGTCACAAAATTTATTTTTATTCACAATATAGTCAGTAACTATATAAAAACTCCACATCAGTGAGCCTTGGAAAACACATCAAGAAAGGTCAAATGAGCTTGACCCTGGCCCAGCTATATATGGCCATGAGGCAGTTCAAGTTTGTGTCAGAATGATGTCTGTCTGCAATTACATATAGGGCACTTCAGAGGCCACCCAAATACCTTATAGATTCTACTGTTTTGATATAAAAGTTCCCCATTTAGTTTCACCATGGACCCAAATTTAGCACACTGAAAATCTGCTATCAAATATTATAGTATCAAAAAGAAGAATGCCATAGCAGTAATAAGAAAGACTAGTTTAATCTCACAGCTTGAGAGGGCGCTTGTGATGCCTTTTGCAATATAGCTTTTTCTGAAACTGGTGTTTAACAAAAATAACCTGGCCAAGCAGTCCTTGACCTGCATCAGACACGGTGTATGTACACAGCTTAATACAGCTCTCCTAGTCCCCTGCGAAGTGATACATTCATGTTACTTTCTTGGATGTAGTCAATGCTGTCTTTTTATTTTTTAAATATTACAAAACAAAGATTTTAACTTAACATGAAAAATTCAATTTATTTTGGAAAAAAAGTTAACTATTCATACTGATAGAACAAGATTAAAGGTAAATTTCTTAAACATTATCCAGAAAAATAATGAGATTTATAGTATCTATTTCTGGTCCTAATATACACAGCAGGCAAACTGCCTATTCCGCAGGTGTAGCTTCAGTGTTTTCCTGTTCAGGGGCGGGCTCACTGCCAGCTTCTTTTCCTTCTTTGCTTCTTTTAGATTTTTTATGCTTGTGCCTTCTGTGACTGTCTCCTTCTTCACTTTCATGGCGACGTCTACTATTACTGAGGAGAGAAAAAAGTGTGTTGTTTCAAAATGTTTAAATATTCAATTAGTGATCGAAACCCCCCTCTATGTGATTTCTCAGTGTAACTGTGTTGAAGATAATCCAACCCATTCTTTTTTCTCATGAACACATTTTAGAAATAATCAGTCTTTATCAGACTTTTATGCAGAGATTACATAACCATAGGATCAAGTCTACCAGTATTATCCCAGATTACCAGAGCCCATTTACTGTAAAACAGAAATTGAAGTACTTAATCAGAACAGGAAATTCTATTTTATGGGACTGCCTTCCCACAAGCAATAAGCATTAAAAGTTAATGGCTTTTTCTTCAGGAGAGGAGGCACTACCAGCCCTATGTAGTTTCTTTAAAACAAACATTGCTTTGTTTAATAATATTTACTATTAAGGATTTGCTCACATACACTAAAATCCTCTCTCTCCCAATGAGATAGTGTACTAAGCCAAACACTCTCATATTATTTTTATTCCATGCTAATTTTGGTTTTGGGATAATCTTGTTAGACTTAAAAATTCATTGCTGAAGCTCATGAGGAACCAACTATTAACATATTATTCTGAATCTTCCAATTGGAAACACATGTTCTACTGGCTGTTTGAAAATGTTTGCTTTTACATCCTGAAGTTAAATCAATTTCTGGCTTCAAAATGAATCACTATTTTATTAAAGTACAAACCTGCGAGATGACTTATGTCTGGTTTCTTCCTTCTCCCTGTGCCGTCTTTCTCTATGTCGCTCCTCCTTTTCTCGACTTGCTCTGTGACGCTCATAGCCTCTTTCTGCATATTCCCTGTATCTGTATCGCTCTTCATCACTGCAATGGAAATGCAATACATTTTCTTGACACCTAGACTATTAAATGACTGCAAACTGTAAAGGAAGAGATCGTAAGTCCAACAGAAGCCTGGATGTTAGCATCTAGTGGATAGCTAGGTCTGCTTGTTAGTATGAAAGTTAACTGAGTCACAAATTAGTGTCAGATCTATGTAACTATACTTCATGCTATATCTGTTCTGTGCTTTCCATAGTTATAACATAGAGATTTCATATAACAATGCCTTATTTCTTCAAACAATGGGACCTGTAGCTGATTAAAATTATAATCAGCAATCTCATTTGCTTTTGCTTCTTTTAAATATTAAAAGCATACTTGTGTATCTCAAATTTCTAACCAAAATTCTTATTTGTAAATTCTTAGACACAAAATGAAGATGTTAAAAATATATGGCTCACAATGGCTACAAGGGAGAAAGCAGATAAAGATTCTTAATTATCTGGCTTATCAATTACAGAAAGAGTACCTCGTTTAATGCAGAGGTGTAAACATAAAATAGAGCTATCAAACCAACTTCTGTAATAAACTCCATAACAGAATGCACAAAGCCTGGACTTATCTGCATTCTGACATTTTATATCTGTTTCTGTGAATATGGAGCAGGAGGCATGACACATGGCTAAAAATTTCAAATGCATGAAAAATTCATCAATATAAGCTGCAGCTTCTTTCACTAATACTTTGTACAACCTAATTATCAGCATTCTCATTTAGAATAAATACAAATCTTCTAAAATGCTGTGTGCTAAAGAGCTCTGATTTTTAGAAATTATTTAATGTAAATTATTAATAATTTCCATGAAGCATCAAAATGTTTTAAAAAGTTTGTGGGAGCACCAGCTCAGATGAATATAAGCCACAGAAAAGAAGAGGCCAACTTGTGTTCCCTTACCTAAAGAAATGATTCAATAAAGGTATGTTTAATGCTAAATCATACAGCTGTCCAAATTACCTATTCTACACTTTTTAAATGTTTTATAAAAACAGAAGATGCATTAACATATATAAACGTATATATGCACATGTGTACATCCACATCTTTTTTCCGCACTATAAACATGGGCTTTGTGTTTGGAAGCTGGAAGCATGTTATCTAAGACAATGTGCCATGGCAAGCAACCCAGTGCAACAGGTAGGATATGGACAGAGCATACCCAGATCACGTCCTGATGAGTGATCCAGACTACTTATTTAAGCTCTCTAAGCTGTAGTTTTATCACGTCTGTGAAACTGGCAATAATGTTTTTCTGTAGAATTGATAACACAAAAGTACTTGATACACAGTAGGTGCTCAACGGACAGTCATTAGTAAATGTAATGCTTAACTTTTCAGAAACAATACAGCATTACAATTAGCTCTTGAAAACTGAGGCTCTTTTAGGAATGATTTCAACTAGATTTACATAAAAAATAATTAAAGGCAAATTATCTCACAATTTGTCACTTTTAACCCTTGTCACTCTTACCATAAAAAAGACTTACTAGCTTTGAGGCCTTCAAACTCTAAAGTTAGCCAGTGATGACAGATGATGAAAGAAACAGTTCTGCACACAAAATATAAACTTTCTTCCATCTATCCCTTTTCTGACAAGTGGCTATAGCACAAAGGTTTCTGTGGGCCTGGAAACCATTAGTACTCATTTCAAACATTCTAGAGAGACCAGCCTTGTTTCAGCCCCACAATTATGCTCCCTAAAAAACAGATGTTAAACTAGTCTGTAATTTTCAAAACAATGACCCTGTAATTTGTAATCCAACACATTCTACATACCATAGTGCTTTTTAGACATTTCTGTCAGTCTTTAGAAATAAACAGCCTTTATTACACTTACATTTTTTCAGAGTACAACTTTTGTCCCCTAAGATAATTTGGAATACACAAAATTCTCCCCCACCTTTCTGCCTTTTAACTTTTAAATTTAGGTAAACATTGGTTCCTAATGTCCTACAGTTCAGCAATCTGAAAAGTATGATTTAACTATTTACACTTTAAAGTTTCAATAAAAATTCAGTAATACCTGTGAACATATGTAAATAGAAGAGTCAGAGAATTCAGCCTCAAATTAAAATTACTGTGTATTATGGAAATATGACTTATGAGCACTATCAAAGCAATTTATTTCAGTTGTCTTTCTGTTGTTTTGTACTGTTTACTTATAAACGTACATGCCAGAGATAATAGTGCTATCTCAAATATATCCTTTTGAAAGACATTAGAAATAATTAAACTTTCTGAAAAGAAATTCTACTAAATTTAACAGAATCATGCATTTACGCAGCTGAAGTCAACTGCACATGTCCCACTATGCAAAAAAAAAAACCAAAGGAAAAGAAAAGCATATGCTCAGGCATTCTGCCACCCACATGTACACACACTTACTTGGTCAATAACATTTTAGTAAGGGTCTAATATGTATAAGTCATACTATTAGGCCACAAAGGGAGAAAAAGGTTAATTCCTTTGCTGTTTTTTCTTATGTCTAGCAAGGAGAAAGTTCTAGTCAGCTTAAAAGTACCATAATGTTTCATATATAAATGTGTTGTAACAGTGTATGAATATTTCTGTATCTGGCTTAGAAAAGGGACTAAGAATGCCAATTACTAACTGGGGTTTTAACCAAGAAAAACCCCAACTTGGAAGAAAAGAAAAATCACAATGAAAAGTTAAATACTTTTTAACTACCTAACTTTAAGACTATGCAGGTTTTTAAGTAATATCTCAACCATATTTCAGACCATATTTTATATTGCAAAGTGGTAATAACTATTATTACCTTAATTTCTCTATGCTTCCATTTCCTTATCTGATGTGTCAAGATTTAGCCTAACTAATCTCTCAGGATTTTTTGGGTCAAGAATCTATGATCACATAACCAAATCTAATAAGAACAAATGTTACCTCAATCAGGCAACAATGCTGAGTTGATATATCATCTAACCAGCAAAATTAATAAACAAGAACTATAGTGTAGAGGGTATGGAGACAGAAACCTGCTATCCCAGCACTCAGAAGGCTAAGCCTGGCTATACTGTGAGCTCAAGTCTAGTCTGAACTACATAGCAAGACTCTGTCTCAAAAAACAAAACAAAATAAAACAAAACCTCTGTAGCTTAAAATCTCATTTATTTTACTTCTAAAAAGAAATGACATAAAAAAGTTGTATGCAACTTACTTCACTCCACACTGTGGTATCTGGACTGGCATGTAAATATGATTACACATAATGCTCTGAGTATGATAATGGTTGATTTTCATTCATTTCAAAATCTATCTAGATGACAGTTTAATAATTTTTTTTTTCGGTACCAGGAATCGAACTCACAACCACACACTTGCAAGGAAGGTGCTTAAGCTGCTGAGCTAAATCCCCAGCCCCCCAGTTTAAGTAATTTTCAAAATTAGTTTTGCTATATTGCATTATAAGTCATTTATTCATTTACACGTTTACTAGGTGCCAAGTATTACACAAATTGTGAAAGACAGCAAAAGAAAACTAGTAGCAAAGCTTTTTTTAAAGAAACATAATAAAGAGATGCTCATAAAGGAAATAGTTTTGTCTTTAAAGTTCACTGCAACTCACATACAATAAAGATATAAAATGGATGACAGAAGAATAAACAGAAGCTTGTGAGGCTGAGAAGAGAACACAAGGTGCAGTTAGAAATACGGTGCACTAGGTTAGGAGAGAACTGGTATTAGAAGATACAAGCATAAGGGGGGAGGAGGTAACTTAGCAATAAGAGCCTGACTGTAAAATGACTTCCGTATAATCAAAATTTTGATACTTACTACATCAGTGGAGTATACTAATATCCCATTCAGTATATGAATTCTTTCCAGCTTTAAAGAAAATCAATTTCCAGATCTTCAATTTCCATATTTATTCCTTTCTAAAGATTTATATACCTGCAGGTAAAGCATCACACTACTTCTCCAGTTAACCTCTCCTCTCATTGTAATATCCTCATTCTTTCTATAAGAAGATTCTACTGTGATACATTTTTTCAGGGTATAGAAACCACCATGACTTAAAAGGATTGAATTTAAAACATCAGTCCCAGTAAGGATTTGAGGAATGATAAAGCTTCTTCCTAGGGCTTCATGTCTTATCTTACACATCTTTTTGCTGAGCACCAAGTAAGGAGTGCAAAATGGCAGTATTTTGGCTTATGTCCTGAGCCATTCTAAATTCAGGTATATTGTAGAATAGTTAGGTAGGAGTGGTAACAATTTCCCCTGACCTAGTTTTAAAAGAAACCTGAAGGTCTCATGAAAGCAAAGCAAAACAGAGTTAGGAAGTCAGCACCATATTTGCTCTGTGACAGTTCTCCTTAGGTTAGGGATAAAGTTAGACTTTCTTCTGATAGAAACAATGTGTCTCTTGGTTGTTTGGCTTGATAATGAGAAAGCCTTTTCTCAGTTAAGGTACACAGTACCTATATTCCATATGCCATGAAGCAAATTTTCAGTTCTAAGGTCTGCATGAAAAATCTTTCATACATATAAAGTTGTTTCTAAGCTTTAAAAATATATTTTAGAAAGTATGCATTAAATTACAAGTATGTTGCTTTTCTCAGCCTTTTCTAGTCAAATGTTAAACAAGTTAAACTGTCACTAAATCAACAGTAGCTAGTATAATTTAACAGTCTTTTCATGTCCTGGTAAAGCATTAGTGGTATTCTTCTAAGAAACTAAGAAAACTGAAGACTTAAAATTATCAAATGAATTATAAGTCCTAACTCCTTGCACATACAGTCAAGTTAAGATGAAGTCACGCTGGATTTGGATAGGCCTAATTTATGTGAATAAGGTTCCTCAGTGTCCACAGACATACATAAATACACATACACATGATTTTTTTAAAGAAACAAATTAGGGCCAGGGAGCACCCATCTGAGTTCAATCCCTGGTACCAAAAAAGAAAGTAGAAAGAAAAAAAAAAAAAAAAAAGGAAATTAAATAATGGCAATCTCTATTTTTCTATAACAATATATGTTATAGAATGCATGGCTACATATATTAATTAGGGATGAGAACAAACTATTACAGTAAAACCTGCAGTTTCATTACAAAATTTTTTTAAATTTCAGAATATTTTTCCACAAAAAATAAATGATAACCAAAATCAGATGAACTTTTGAAATAAATTTAAGATATTTTTGGCCACGGAACAAAACTTTTAAACATTTTAATATATAAATTTAGGATAATCTATTTAAAGTTTTTTCAAATTAAAAAAGATTTATATTTAGGCAATGCTGGGGATCAATCCCAGGTCTTGTACAAACTAGATGAGTACTTACTCCTAACCCTCCCCACTCTCTAGGATTTTTTATATTATTGTAAAATTCTTTGGGGGAAGTGGCACAGAAAAATTTAAGCACAAAAAGAAATGAAAACTTTTCAGCTGTTAAAGACAGCCTATTACTGCTTTTTAACAAAATGGATGATGATGTTAAGTCACAATGTCTCCAACCTATCAGGCATATTTAAAAATGATAATCTGCAAATTACACTGTCAACTATTGAAGCATAATGCAAAAAAATTTACATGCCAAGATAAAAATTTGTGAGGGACTACACAATTCTTTTAAGGTTTAAGTGAATAAACAAATTTGAAAACTGTTTCATTGATGATGGAAAGTCTCTAACAGTGAAAACAAAAAAGTCCTCACACTAAGTAAGAATGTGTTAAGTGTAAATGAAATACTTGTGCACAATCTCCTGCACACCCAACAAACCTGTTGAAGACACTTGGGGTAGGACTGTGATCACGCTCCCGCTCTCTTTCTCTGGTGCGTTCTCTTTCTCGGTCCCGATCCCGATCTCGCTCTCTGTCTCTGTCTCTGTCTCTATCTCGGTCTTTCTCTCTTCTTGCATAGTAGTCCCATTGCTTGGTAGTGTCCACAAGACTTGGCCATGAAGGAGCAGAACCAGTAAGATGAGGAAAGGCAACTAAAGAAAAAAATAGTAATTAAAAACAAGGTTACGGTACTTGAAAAACGAAAATATAAAACCCCCACCAATAATGTCATTAAATTACAACAGAAAGTTATTTTGTAAATAGAAATTAAAATATCACATAGCAAACACCCCTAACAGTAAAGAAAAATCCAGCAACAAATCTCAAAAGACCTAGTTAAGTCTTAAAGAGCCTTCATTTGGCAAGGTGAACAAGAATCAAAATCAGACCATAAGCTTCTAATGTCAAAAATAAAAACCATGGGGCTGGGGGCTGGGGATTTAGCTCAGCGGCATAAGCGCCTGCCTTGCAAGCAGGCAGTCGTGAGTTCGATCCCTGGTACTGATAAAAATGAAAGAAAAAAAAAAAAAAAAACCCAGAACACACTGGGATACTGGAGTGTTGAAAAAAAAATCCACTAGAAAAATATACCCAAAAAATCATATTTTAAGAATAAAATAGTCTTTTCTAAATAAAAAGGGTAAAATGTATAACCAACTGGTTTTCCCACAAGAAGATACACTCTTAGATACCTTTGGGGGGAAAAAAAGGAAAACTACACTATAAAGAAGATACAAATGAATGGAGAAAAAGAAAAAAAGATCTAACATAAAAATAGTTCAATAACATGGTAATTACATATGCAAAAATCAATGAATCACAATGGAATAAAGAGGACAAAGATTAATCTGTTCTAAAGTATGTTGATGAAGGTTTAGGTACTACTCACTATATATTGATATATATCATCATAAAATTTAAGGGTAAAAATAGAAAAAAATGTAGAATTTCAAAAGAATACAGAAGAAAACTGAAATTTAAAAAATGAATTAAAAAATGACTTTAAAAGGATGGGAGTGGGAAGACAAATTCAAATAGGTCAATAATAAAAGGGATTCAGTGTATCAATTAAGACAAAGATTGTTGATTTTTACTTGTAAAACAAAGTATGTTTTGAAGATATGAAAACACAGGTTGAAAGTAAGAGGATGGAAGGGGAAAAAATAAAATAGTAATAGCTCCAGAGTTCCCATATGAGTAGCTACGTAGCTATACTAATGATCAAGCAGATTCCTAAGAAAGAACAGACAACACTGCATCAGAATGGAGGATGAAATTCACCAAAAGGAGCAAACTGAACCCCTTGGGCATCTGACAACAGTGGCTTTAATTTTAGAGTTGCCACTGCTGAAAACAGGTAGAAATAAGAAAACCCACCACAATCAATGGACATACTATTCTTAGCCTCTAACAGATTAAATAAGCAGACAAAAAGATCCCAGTACAGATACGTAAGTTTTGAGCAATTCATTGCTAACAAGGTAAAGTAAATAACAAGGAATACTGTTCACATCAAAAAGCACTTACTCTTCTCAAAAAACTGTAAAACTTAGATAAAAATAAATATACACTTGAAAGGAGTAGGTATGATAAACATCACATTCTCTAAATTTCATATAATGTTGGATGTAAAATTTAAAGGTTACAGAAAAATAATTCACTTCAAATTAAAAACACATTTCTAGTAAGCCATTGGTCCAAAACAATCATAAATTTAAATCACTCAGAACCAAACATAAGATAAAACCATGACATATCAAAAGTTTAGGCATGTTAAAGTATTCTGGAGGGAAACAGTCTTGGAATACTGTACTGGAAATGACTGAAAATTAACAGTTTCCAACTTAAGAACTTATACAATATCAAAATCAAAAAGGGGCTAAAACTGGACACTCCAAAGATTAAATAATAAAGAAAAGATTAAATAATAAAGGAAAATAAAGAAAATTGTACACTTTGTACTATTATACTTTAAAACTTAGCTGAAATGGGCAAATTTCTATGAAAAGTAAAACCTTACCAAACAAAAGGGTCTCATTAACCTCATAACTGTTAAAGACATTAAGCCTATAATTTAAAATCTTCCCACAAGGCCAGGTGGCTTTTATAGGTCAGTTCTAATAATTTATAAATAGGTCATTCCAATAGTACCCAAATTTCTGGAAAACAGAATAATTTCTTGAGTGTCCCATGTAGCCTGTATAACCCTAATACCAAAACCAGTACACAAGACAGTCCAAATAAAGGAAAATCAGGGCCAAGCTTACATATAAACTGAGATGTCAAAATGCTATATAACTATTAGCCAACAATTACTGTTTAACAGAGAATTGATCATGACCAAGTTAGGTTATTCTCAGCAATAACAGTATCTTAATAACATAAAAATGTAAAATCTAATTTTCTACATTAACAGATCAGAGAAAATAAATAATAATAATAATCTCAAAAAGCATTGATAAAACTCAACATCCATTCACAGTTCAAAAGTCCTTGCAAAAGAAAACTGGGAGAAAAAGAGATTTCCTTTCTCTAACGTATGGTTATTTAAGAACTAACAGTGAAAATCTAAAAGCATTTCTTTAAAAAGAAAAAGAGGAAAATGGCCAGGCTTCCACTTTTAATACTTCAACAAAGAAAATAAAACAAAAAGCCCCCAAAACAGGAATGTTAGGGGAAAGCAAAACTCTGAAAAGAAAGGAGCAAGACTACCTGAAGGCAAGGCCGTCTGAACAGTTAGAAACAGAGTTCAGCAAGATAAATGGCTGAGAGCAGTATAAAAATATATTTAAGAAATAAGAACACAACATGTAGTTCAACTGTTTAAATGAGCATACTATTTACAACAGAAACAAAATTGTATTAGATGCCTATGTCCTAAATCTAATAGCAAGATAGGAAAGAAGTATATGGAAATAATTATAACAGTTTATTGAAACACATAAAAAAATCGCTGTGAAAAAAGACATAGTGCTCGTTCACTGACAAGACTCTTGTTCTTTAGGTATGAATTATACAAAAATATTGTTCTAGAGAACCAATATAATTTAGATATAACAGCCTGTAGAAGCCAGTCTGCTGTGTGGCGCCGGAGAGATTATTTAAGTTGATTATTCAATTTTTTCACGTATTTAGTGGAAACAATGACAATATATCTACTTTAAAAGGCTGTCAGGATTACAAGAGTATGCAAACAAATTTGCTGTTCTTTGCTAAGATGGCATATAAGCCAGACTTCCCCAACCAGCTCTCTGAAAACTACTTGTTTCCTGGGTATTTCTCTTGTCACATGAGGTACACGTTAATACATTTTTCTCTTGTTAATCTGTATTTTGTTAACATGGTTCATTCTAAGAACTATGCAGACAGAGAAAAAAAAAAACTATTTTTCATTCCTTAACATGTTCAACAGTTTCTAAAATGTTCCTTCCCTCAATTCCAAACAAACAAAAAATCATATCCTTTGTACACATCCTATAATTTCCTTAAACAATGAGAATAGTTTTTCAAATGTAAATCTTGTAATTTCAGAACTCAGCATAAAACTGGGTCCTTACAGTTCTTTAAAAAAGGCCCAAACTCCATAGCACAGTTTTATAGGCAGGCCCAGTTTTATTGTACTTCACTGTATTATGCTTCAAAGGTAACTTTTTATTAATAAACTGAAGATTTGTGGCAGTCCCTTATCAAGCACTATTTTCCAACAGCACGTGCTCACTTGGTGTTGCTGTGTCACATTTTTATAATTCTCACAGTATTTCAAGGTTTTCATCATTATTATTATATCTCTTATGGTGATCTGTGACCAATGGTCTCCTTTTTGTTTTTAGTACCAGGGATCAAATTCATGACCTCATGCTTGCCAGGCAGGCGCTTGTATAGCTGAGCTAAATAGTTTCTGATGTTACTACTGTGATTGTTCTGAGATGCCACAATCTATGCCTAAAAGTATAAATGGAAAACTTAATTGATATACATACATGTTCTGTCTGTTCTACCAACTCACCCTTCCTGTCTTGCTTCTTCCTCCTCAAACACAACAATATTGAAATGAGAAAATTAATAATCCTAAGTCAGAATTGTAAGTATTCAAGGCAAAAGGAAGACTCACACAATGAAAATGTCATCAGACATCTTTAGAAAAATGAAGTAGTTAAAAGTGAACACAAAAGGACTACAAATGATTCAGAACAAAGATTCAACAAGGCAGGGAAAATCAAAAACAGATTAATTGGATGCCATGATTCACATGGACAATGAAGACTGAGATTGGGTACAAATCCTAAATCCTCTTAGGAAAAGGAAAGGTACAAATATCTGTTGCACCTTTTTTTTTTTTTTTTTTTTTTTTTTGGTCTTTTTTGAGACGGGGGTCTTCCTATGCAGTTCAGGCTGGCCTTGAACTCACTTTGTAGCCCAGGCTGGTCCTGAACTCACAATGATCCTCCCACCTCAGCCTCCCGAGTGCTGGGATTACAGGCGTGAGCCACCACGCCCGGCTTGTTGTACCATTTATTAATTTTTAAAGGTATAAATGATAACTCTTGTTTAAGTAATTGACAGATATATAAATCCAGATACTCTTTCAGTTAATACCTTTAGTTACTCTACAAATGTTACTTTAGACCATGGAACGATATTCTTACTGTTTTAAAAACAGGTAAGTACTTTAATGACTGAATCCAGGTAACTAATTATGAATATGAATCTTCTTAACTAGTAACTTACCATTGCCATACGGAAATGCACGTGCAGAGCGACTATCATAACCAGAGGAATGTCCACTGTTGAAAGGAAAAATGTATTTATGTGTCTGTTGCAAATACATTTTTAATTTTAATCATATGCTACAGACAGAAAAACAGCAGGGAAAATTATAACTTTTTTCATTTGTTTGAGATGGCACTCCATATATTGCCCAGGAGAGTCTCAGACTACTGGAATTAAGTGATCCTCCCATCTCAGGCTTCCTGAGTACACAGGACTATAAGTACATACTCCTGAGTACAGCAAAATTGTAACTTATATTCCCCCATCATTTAATGTCTTAATTCTGTAATTTTATTTTAAAATATAAAACCCCAGGGCTTTTTTAACCTCAAAAGTATTAAACTTTTTAAAAAATCATTAAACTTACCACCTAATTTTAAAGAAAAATATAACCTACTAGTATTATTTGCCATAAGTAAACTCAAATCAATTTAGCTTATAGTGAGATAACAAATACTGAGACTAACAGAATATTTCAAATTTAAAATTAATCTTTAAAAAACCCTAGCTTTAATGATTATAAATTTGTAGTTTAGTTCCACAAACAGGTTCATTAAATAACACTTTTTAACATTTCAAGAAATGTGCTTAACAAGGACTTGATAAAACCAAATCCTTGTATACACATACATACTAAGTATAATTTCCTTTGAAGACCATATGCATGGTTTTATGCTACTAAGTCCTCACAGTTTTCTTTTTATATAATTTGAGTTTTTTTTACAAATGTGGTATTTTTAGAGTGTATCTGTCACTTAAACAGAAATAACAGTAACTCCATTAATTAGTGATAGCTAGCTGCCAAGAATTGTGCTAGTACTTTATGTCATTAGCTATTTTAATCTTCAAAATTTTAACAACCTCTGGGTTATAAAAGGAAACTGAGTCTCAAAGAGGTTATGAATTTTGTCTAGCAACACTGTGATTCACACCCTATGATTTTTAACCCAATACTACCACCACCGATACTGTTCAGTATAGCAGCCTAGCTAATGTAAACTGAGCACAGGGTATAATAAAATTCTGCAGAATGGATCCAATTCTTCCCTATGAAAGCTGAGATGCAGCAGAATAGCAAGGAATAAAGCATCTTTACTTTTTTACTAGAGTCTGTAGCAGTTTTTCTTATGTAATCTCAAAAGAAATATGTATTATTTATAATTTCCAGTAAATTGTTTATATTTTCCACACTGACTCGAGCCAAGATTTTAACAGTCTAGAGGTTTTTTTTACAAAGTGGCTCTTTTTTTTTTTTTGTACTGGGGATTAAACTCATGACTTCATACTTGCTAGACTGGCACTTGTGTCACTGAGCTAAATCTCCGGCCCTAGAAGTTTTTTACAAACAGTGGTACAAGTAAAAGCAAGATACTATTTCAAAATACTGTGATTTCATTTTCTTTGCTCTGTTTTAATATCAGGCTATAAGTCTAACATGTTAAATAAAAGCAATTAACAGATTAGATTTATGAATTAAAAGGCAGGTGCTATATTTATAAAATTTTCTTTGAAACTATATGTTCTTGTGTCAAAGGGCTACCAGTGATCAAAATTTCACAGAATCTGTACTGATTTACCTTTCTATTGTTGGTATAAGAGATGGCGGTGGAGCACCTGGTGGAGGAGGAAAACCTGAAACATTCAATCATAAAACAAAAAAATTAACAGAATTTGTATTTAATGTCATAAGTGAAACAAAGTTGCTGCATATCACTAGATTTCTTTGAGGACACAAACGTGCTTCTCTATGTTATAATGAACAGAAAAAAAATGGATCTTAAACTTACAAACAGAGTTTTGGAGCAATAAAAATTTTAATGAATAATCTGGCCTAACACACAGAGCACAAACGGGGAGCAGTCAGGACACCCGGTCTTATTTTCAGCACCACACACAGCCCATTTTGTGAGTATGAAAAATCTCAATGCCTTACCTTTTCCACATAAAAACAGCAGTAGTATTGCCACCAGATATGTTTTATTTAAAATATTTTAAAAGAAAAGCAAAGTACCATTCACTTCTTTTAAAAAATATTTTGGATTTCAGATGCATAGAAATTTCCTTAAAATGTATAATTTATGAATACCAGTAAATCTTACCAGTAAATACATAAATGCTCAAAGCTGAGAACATCTGCCATAAGGTACATTTAAAATAGCACAACCCCAATGAACTACTTTACAAAGAAAGGCATAATATGGAATTTTGGATTAGTTTGAAGGAAAATAAATCTGCACCTTTTTACTATGAGGTCTGCGTGTCAATAATTTGTAATACCTAAATGACAAATCACAATTTATAGATAAAAGGGATCTTATCTAACCTACTCTGCACTTTCAAATTCAGATAGGCAATACAGTATTCCAACAAAAGACTTTAAAGATTCCGCACCTCGTATGATACCAATTCCTTCCAAGTTCTTAACAACCCTCACTCTTAGGAAGTAAATTAAATTACATAACTTAAGCCCCTCATGCTACAATTCATATGCTGTCCCAATGAGGACAAATACTCCATTATTGCATTCTCTATTACTGGCTATATATTTAAAATCTCTTCTATTAAGCCACCTTTTTAGCATTCTAAGTAAAGTTGAGTCTAAGTTCTCCATCTCTTCTCAAAGTTCCATTTAAATAAATGTTTAACCCTGCTGTAAACTATGTCAAGTTTACCATGCTCTTTACTGTACCCTGTTGTAAGACCTGTAACTGCTCTATTAAACAGCAACACAAGCAGAAAATTTAGCAATTACAACATTAGTCCTAGAGCTCACAATCTTATGTTATATAGCTTCACAACCACATTGCTTCTTCAATTAAAAAAAAAAAAGATACCAATTGCTTTGACTTTCCCTGATTGAGCCTCTTGCAGCCACATTCACACACAATCCGTGACTATCACCATATCTAAGTATGTACACTCTGCTGAGCAATTTAAACTTCCCTATTTCTGTTTATGCAGGTCATTTTCAATTTAGACCCACCCTTCCAAGCATCACTCCTGACTTTTAATACTGAGCTTAGTAAACACACTTGCTAATACAGTTTGCTATCACACCGCAAAAGAAACTGACAAAAATGTAAAAAACAAAACTAAGCCACACATAAACTCCTACTACCATACTATTACAACAAGAAACAGTTTATTCACAACTCTAAGAACAACCATTGGACCACTCATTAATTTATTTAGTTGCTGTGAGGTTAGGGACATTATTTTCTCATAACACAGAGTTACGCCAGCTGGATTTAAAAAATTTTAAAACTGATAAAAGTCAAGGTAATTACTTTTCTCTTACAGTATTCTTTATCATATAAAAAATTCACTGGTCTGAAAAATTTTATAAAAATTATTTTGTATTCCATTCTCTTTTCTCAAAATTTATTATGGTGAGAATTTTCTCACAATCTCTATTTCCACAGGGTAAGACAGGTACAAGAGAACTAAGTTTCTTAAAACTGAAATGAAGCAAAGGCAGAGCTGAAAATAGGACCTTGAAAACCCAAAGCCTAATTGATTCTAACCACATCAACACTGACCCTCCTGGAACTATGAGCTTGAAATTTCATGTTCATTAACAATGATGGAGAAAACATGAAAAAAGTTTTACCTGGAGGTGGTACAGTTATTGGGATACCTAAAAAACAAGTGATGAAATTTAATATAGTAACTGGATTTCAGAACCTGTTATGTATTTATGCCATCACCAAAACTTTGAAATAAAACCCCTTGCCTCATTATCCTGGCTCAGTCACTCAAAAGAGAAGCATTCTGTTTCCTTGCAGAACAACAATTCAAATGTAATATCCAACTTCCCTGATGAAAACCCAGTCAACAACTTGATAACAAAATTTCCCCCACTAGCTGTAATCACAAATGAAATTAGACATCAGTTAAAAAGCACACTTGTGCACAAATATCAAACTCCGTAACATTACTGCTAACTAAATTTGATAATCAATGCCTGATCCTGTTCTCCTAGTATTTTAATAGGGAAACTGATCTGTGGATTCTTTAATACTACAGGCAGTACAAAACAACTGAAGATTATGGAATTACTCACTTTTGTAAACCCAATGTGGGCCATTCAAATATTAAGGTTGTTTGATTATTGTTAGCAGGAATAAAAAAAAATTTAATATTTTTTTTTACTTGTAGGAGTAGAAGGGGGTATAAACAAATTCATATATATATGTACATACTCCCAGGGCACTTTAACATAAATATGGATTATTTATTTCCAAAAGTGCCAGCAAGTACTAATTTATTTGCACACATTATAAATTTTAAGAAATAATTTTGTATGAACACTGTCGACTGATTTTGGCCAAATGTGCCCTTAAATTTATTGAGAAGTACTAAAATTAAAGTCTGTATTTTAAATTTAAGGCATACATGAAGGGCAAATTACGTGATATACAAATTGTAACTACTTTCAGTGAAATTTAAAACAATTTTCTCATGAAAAATCATATACCGTAAGTAAGTTCAACACAGTCATAGTAGTAAACGCTATCTTTAAAACTATACCAAAGTTAGAACAAAGGAGGGGAAATTTTAAATCATCAGCTACATGCATGCAAAAAAAAGGGGAATAATCACCTTTGAATATTTTCTTGACAATGGAAACTTGCTAATCCTTTAGTTTAAAATGTTCTGACATGCATGTTTTATCCAAGTTAAGAGTTTATATAAAGATAGCAGATCACCTTACATTTTAACCACCTGATTTAAGCACCAATGCAATAAGGGATACCCTAAACTTATAAGCCCAGCAAAACTAAAAAAAGTATGTAAAGCAGCCATCCAGTTTCAAAAACCATGAGATTCGACAAATCTACCCACCTAATCCACAATTTAGGGCAATTCTCATCCATCCTGAGGTTAATTTACAGCTTCCGAACTCACTAAAGGAGTCCAGCAGACAATACAAGCTAATAGAGACCCAGATTCCAAACTAAACAGGGAAATTAAGGAAAGCAGAGCAGTAAATGTTTTTAATATGCATTATGACCTAGTTTTCTTTAGAAAAGTACAGAATTTTTAGTACACTACTGAACTTCACTTTTTGATCTAGTTTTTAAATTTTTAAATTTCACTTGTATGTTAACACCCCAAAATCAGCCACCTACTCCATGTTACTATTATTGTAATTAGTCTACCTAAAGGAAAACATGAGCAGCTTCTATCCCTTCAACTAATTCCTATTTCAGTCAAGTCATGTAAAATAAATGAATAAATAAACCAAAGAAATTTCTGGCCCTTTCAAAAATACTTAAACTGTAAAATGCAAACTAAAGATAAAAGATAAACCCAAATTAAACATGCAACAATGGTAGTTAAAATTAGTCTGCCTTTAATTTTAATCTTACCACAGTAGTATCATAGGGGAGATCTTTAAAAATCAACTACAACTAAGACTACAAATACAGTCAAAGAAAAAACCATGGATAGATGTCTTTCCAAAAAACACCCATGCAACAAGAAACTGGCATGGGGGAACTACCAACGGCTGTTTTTGTGAAACCTGTATTTCATCTAAGGTTTTATTTAATGTCAATCGTTATTGATAAATGTTCACTGGAATAGGACTGTACAGTTGATGAAGCATGACACAACCTATTCTTTGACAATTATCAAGAATACTTTCAAATTACAACTGAGAACGTTTAATACATGATGCAATATAAGGGTAATAACATCGTGAGTAGGAAAAACTATCTTTTCCTAGAAAGCCATGTCTAACACCAGTAAAACTGAGATTTCTAGTGGTGACAAAAATCTTTTGGAAAAACAATATTCAAACTTTAATAGGCTGAATAAACTATGTATTGAAACTTGAGCCTGCATGAGAATATGGAGAATTCAACTAAAAATTGCTAGTCCATTTCTTAACAATTTCTGATTAGTACATCTAATGGTAGAACCACAAAATTTAGATTCTCACAAATTTCCCAGGATATGACATGTTGCTAGCTTGGGACAATACTTAAAGAATCCCTGTATTAAATTCTAAACTTCTCCCCTGATTTCACACTACAAAATTCAATACAGAGGAAATAAATGTTCTTCCCAATATTTAGCAAACGAAAATACCTACACATGACACTGAAGAATAAAACAGTATGAGAACCTGTACTATATGTTACTCTCAAAGAGAAAGGGAGAAAAAATTTTTGTTTTTCCAGTATATGAAGGAGAACATATGCACTCTTAAAGGTGAAAGAGCATTGGGTGAAGGCAAATCAGAAATTCTACATGGGGAACTGCAGCAAATTAACAGAAAGTCAACATTCTTGCTAAAAACAGTATTTTAAAATCTATACGTATCAGAAATTTCCTCCCATAAAATAACTTAGTATGCTCAATGGTCGCAACAAAACAGAATGAAGATTGTCTATAAACTCACTTTTCATGTAATCATCATTAATTTGTTTAAGTAAGGCAAAAACAAAAAGTGATAACCAACTTCTGGCATGCTTTCAATGGTCTCTGAAGCCTCTTTACATACGCCTTTGCATACTTCTGCTATGTATGTCCTGCACTGAGAATGGGCTGGCCATTATTATTGGTTTTAACACAGAGAACACAGCAAAAATGACAGGATGTCACTTACATGATGAGTTACAAAAGACAATGACTTCTATTTTGCTGGTACCCTTTCTACTGCCATCTCAGCTTGCATGCTTTGATGACGTAAACTGCCATGTTGAAGAGGACCACAGCCAGTGGCCCTCTCAGCCCAACAGCCTAAAGAAGAAACCAAGTACTTTTAACAATGACAACACGAGTAAGGTCAGAGATGAATCTTTCCTGAGTCAAACTTTTAGACATAACTGAGAGACCTGAGGATTGTGAAGCAAAGAAATCAGTTCAGCTGCTCCTAGATTCCTGACTGAGAAAACTGCTCAAGAAGAACCATGTATAATATTAAGCTATTATAAGTACAGTGTTTTGTGATGCAGTAGCAGAATACAATATCTGTAGTAACTTAAGTTTAAGAGAAAAAAACTTCTATTTTCCTTTAACTCAAGATTTCTATTTCAACTCTGAAGACATCAACTTACAAGTTTGTACAAAAAAAAAATTGAGTACAAAAAGTCCAACTTTTGTAAAAATTTTCAAGTATCACCTTTTACTAGAAACGCTGTTTATGGATCAAATTTTTAAAAATTAGGCACAAAATCACATACATACATACATACATCTCATCTACCAGTTACTCTTTAAAAAAAAAAAGCACTGAATGTAGGATACTATGAACCAATTCCTATTGATTAAAGCAATTAACTGCAAGATACAAAAAAGACAGAAATAACTTTAAAGGAAAAAAACATATTAAAAATGCTCCAGCCCAGGTCAGGGACATAGCTCAGTAGCACCAACACCTGTCTGGTAAGTGCAAGGTCCTGAGTTCAATTCCTGGCACCACACACACACACAAAGTTAAAATAAAAATGCTGTAGTCTCAAAACTAAAAGCAATCAAAGATACCAGCATACTTCATATCTAAAAAGCAAACACAATTTTACATTACTCTGAAATAAATAACTTTTATGTTTCAAAGATTTTGTCCTCTAATTTATAAAATCTGTAATCTGCAGAAAACAAAAATTCTATCTCAAACTATATTTGAGTTGCCAGTAGTTTTACAGAGAATGCGTAGTTATCTTTACCAGCTCACATATGATCACAAAATGACTGAAGAACAGTGCAAACAATCAGCAGATACTGAACTATAATTATTTTATAGTCTGCATTACCAATGGTTTATTTAAAATGTAATTATACAGGCCTGGGGATTTGGCTCAGCGGCAGAAGCACCTGCCTTGCAAGCAGGCAGTCGTGAGTTCAATCCCCGGTACTGATAAAAAGGAAAAAGACAAAAAAAAAAAAAAAATGTAATTATACAAGAGAAGACTCATGGGAAAAACATACTCAAAACCAGGGTCTTAAAGAAGTTTCAAAAGCCTATGAAATTTATATCTAATTTCAGTTATGCCAAAAATAGTTATTATAGATAATTAGAATTATTCCCTACTTTTGAGTTTATTGAAAATGGTCATATTTGTGTATGTTTTTAAATATAGGAAAACAACAAAAGAGAAAATGAACACAGTTCTCAAAGGCGTCAAAGAATGCTTTTTCACAGGTACTAATGGAAAATGTATGTATTTCTGCTAAGTGCCAACTACTATGAAGTAAGCTAAGACCCAAACCCCATAGAACAATAGCTTAATGTTATTGCATACATATTCATAAAACAGCTTCTTGGTAAAACCAACAAAAACCTCAAGGATGCTGGTATTAGAAATCTAATACCAACCAACTTTTTGCCAAAGCAGCAGCTCTCCAAGTTTTATTCAAGGAATCTTGGGAATCTGAGACCCTTCAAAAGTCAAAACTACTTTCATAAAAATGTTAAGATACACACTTTCTTCGTGTGTACAGTAGAGTTCTCCTAAAGTCACATGGCATGGGATAAATATCATTATATATTTAATGAAGAAAAAAATAGAAGATCCCTGCTATTCTGTATTAATCTATATTGTAAAATGATTTAAAGAACTATAAAACAAGGCTATTTCTCACTACTTTATTATTCTAGGAAAAAATATTGCTATTTTTCTTAAAAAT